CTGTTGCATACAGTCTTAACCCACACAGGGTTACACAGGTCTGTCCTCTTCAGATAGCTGTCCCGGACTGAGCGCACTCAGCAGCCACAGCCCATAGTCCCCCTCCTCTCTCACGCACAGCCTCCTGGGAGTTGCAGTTTCAGAGATCCTTCTTGCAATGTCCCAGTCTCTGCTCTGCGCTGCAATCCCCATAAGTCTCTGCCTCCAGGACACACAGAGGCAATTAACTGTTTGCAGACAGGAACATGAATCACTGCAATAGCACATATATACATATCTATATAGGGGCTACATGTGTTCTGTTTAAGAAAGTCTGTAAAGCTTCAATTAATTCTAATGACCAAAAAAAACAGAGTTGTTTATTCAGGCCTCCTTTATGACTGGTGTGTATTGGCCTTAAAGGAGAACTATGGGGTTAAAGCTTTTCCCCATAGTTCTCCTTAGGGTAACGGGAGGACATAAAATAGCGTCCTCCCGTCACCCTAAGCTCAGTATACCGCGAGCTACAGCTCGCGGTATACTGAGACATTCGCTGCCAATGCCTTTTGGGGGGGGGGGGAGTTTTTTGCACACATGTTATAATCCACATTTTAGGCCTGAAAATTACTTCAAACCCCCAAACATTATATATTTTCTAAAAAGCCAACTCCCTGCAGAATAAAATGGTGGCAGTAGCAAAATGTTTATGTTGCGCGATATTGGCACAACTCTTTATCAACCCCAAAATTATAGTTCAAAATTCACTTAAGGTAATTTTAGTGCCCCAAAACACATATTTTTGTAAAATCTAAAAGATGAGGTTACGACAAGTAAATAGATACCCAACATGCCAAGGTTAAAAATTGTGTGCATCTGTGAAACGGTGACAAAATTCACTACCCCAAAAAGTCCATAGGCGTCGCTTTAAAAGCCCCTACAGGTCATTAAGAGATATGCGTAAATATTGTCCCTAGAATTGTTGCTCTCAAACTGGTGTGCGCGTTGATACCCAACACGTGTAGCGCAAACGTGTTTGTCGCGGGCATTTTACCGGCCCGTACAAGCAATCTGGAGGTAGCTGAGTCGCCAAAATCGCTTCTATTGTAAGGCCGACAGTTGACTTTACAATTTTAAAGAGTCCCAATGGCTAAAGCCACCGGGAGTCTGTTTAAAGGGCCATGCTGCCACCGACATCTGTGGCAGCAAAAGGATTAATGGTGTTTTATGGCGGGGATAATAAAATACTAAGAAGATAGAATACTAAATTATTACTGGACAGACTCAATTAATCCATAAAAGGTCGCCTGGCCTGATAACAAGCATATGACCGGTACCTCACTCCTAGTAACCCTTCTAGTCACTATTAGTTTAAAAAATTCATACAGTATTCATAACTTTAGACCTGGGGGGGTGCAAGAATAATAAACATACAAAATATATACACACACACTATAAATGCGAAAAGTATTGGGACGCCTGCCTTTACACGCACATGAACCTTAATGGCATCCCAGTCTTAGTCCGTATGGTTCTATATTAAGTTGGCCCACCCTTTGCAGCTATAACAGCTTCAACTCTTCTGGGAAGGCGTCCACAAGGCTTAGGAGTGTGTCTATGGGAATGTTTGACCAATCTTCCCGGAGCGCATTTGTGAGGTCAGGTACTGATGTTGGACAAGAAGGCCTGGCTCGCAGTCTCCGCTCTAATTCATCCCAAAGGTGTTCTATCGGGTTGAGGGCAGGCCAGTCAAGTTCCTCCACCTCAAACTCGGTCATCCATGTCTTTATGGACCTTGCTTTGTGCACTGGTGGGCAGTCATGTTAGAACAGGAAGTGGCATACCACGCTTGAATTCGCTGAGCTCCTGAGAGCGACCCAGTCTTTCACAAATGTTTGTAGAAGCAGTTGGCATGCCTAGGTGCTTGATTTTATACGCCTGTGGCCATGGAGGTGATTGGAAGACCTGAATCCAATGATTTGGAGGGGTGTCCCAATACTTCTGGCAATAGAGTGGAAATATGTATGTCCTTTAACCCTGAGCAGACATACCAAACACAATGGGTTTAGAAGGCACAGAGGACTAAAGACCTGCAATGTTATAAACCAAACATGATAATCGAAAATAATTTAAAATTGTTTATGTAGCGATCACCCCCTTAGGAGCCGCTGGAATAACCAGGTCATCACTAGATGACTAGATCAGTAGAACAGTAAAAACTTTTAAAGCGTCGCCTATAGCCAATTTTGGGTGTGGTCATTTTCTTGTTTGGTGTCTATTTACCCGACGTGACCCTGTATTTTATATTTTACCAAATAATTGGGGTGATAATAAATGTTTCATAACATTTCATAGGGAAACAGGTTTTCTTTTTTAAAAATGTAGGGTACTTTTTTTTTGTTATGTAGTAAAAAATAAGTGGTGATTAAATACCACCAAAAGAAACCTCTATCTGTCCCCAACAAATGGTATAAAATTTGTTTCAGTACAGCGTTGCTTGAATGAGTACCGCCGCGCAGAACACTGAAAAATGGCCTGGCCAGGAAGGGGGTGAAACACCCTGGTCTTCAAGTAGTTAAACATCTTCACACTGAGAAGAGAGGGTATAGGGATCCTAGACATCCAGGGTGTAACAGACATAGACTCCAGACCTCCACTTGTGTTACAGCGAATAGTAATTGGATTAACAGATGAGTAGGGATGAGCATAAATCCTCAGCAGGAGAGACACCAGCTATGCCCCTGAAGTCCTTTAAGATCCAGATAACTTCAAAAGGCATCCATTTTTCTGGTCCTCCTCCTCTGGCAGCAACGCAGGCCTCCTCCATACTGGAGGCCCCAGGGAAACATTTGCCTCACTCCAGGCTCTGCCCACCCCCAGGCCTCGCCAAGGGGGTGGCTGGACAGCACACAGTACTATGCTAATCCATGGCTGGTCCCAACTAGTCTGAGCACATAACAATTCCCTCCAGTATATGTACCCTATCCCAGCATGCACCACTGGTTGAGAGAAACCCAGTGATTGGCTGCTGTACTGTACATACACTTACAATGTCCCTCATTGGCTGTCCCACAATATAGCAGAGTCACACTCCACCCAGGGGCATACAGTCAATGCCAGACACCTGGAATTAACCGAATAAATGCCAACTATAATCCCACCAGGCTGACTACAGCTCTGGCAATTACTAAATGTCTATTAGCCACCTCACAAAAGGTGAAGGGGCTACACTTATAACAAGTGTCCTAAAGATAACCCCTTCTCCTACTCAAAACCTCCCATAAGTCTTGTAAAAAATCCAGAATCTTCCCAATAATTGTCCCAAAAAACTTGATCCACCTCATGCTCCACCACAGCTATAAAAGTGCATCCAAGTGATTTCCCCAATATGTTCAGTATCGCACTCATAGGGAACATTAGACCATAATAAAAACAGCCATAAAACACTCTTTGTAATTTTCTTATTGACCGGCATAATATAATTCTCCACGTATTCGGAAGTGTTACAATATAAACATGGTCCTTATAATCACCATTAATGCTCCATTCCTCGCATCTTCTCCTCCGTTCCAGAAATTGAACTTTTAGTCAGCCTAAAAAATGTTCTTCACGTTTTCTCATAGGAAATAAAACGCTACATTGCATAAAATCTTTATAAAGCTTTAATAGGGAAGTGCGCTAAAAAATTACATTGAAAGCAACGAACAACGCTCTGTGACATAAAATCCAACCATCTCCTCTCTCTAAACCCCTGGTAGTGGTCGGCTCAAATCCACCTGGCTGGACGCTCTTTTATGCAATCCTCTTTCTCTCCTCTACCAGTGATTACCATGGTGACGTCAGCGTACAGGCTCCTTTGGGTATTGCCACGTCTTGGTGACAGTTCGGTAGGATCGGAACTGCATATAGTCATGTGCTGATGGCGTACAGTGGGATCGGGCCCGCCACTCCTTCATAGTCCATTTACAGCTAATTACCCACAGCCCAGTCCACAAAGCCAAGTGAGCCCTGCCTTTTATCACTCCAGAGATGCAGAAACCAGACCGTCAGCTTCAACACCACATTTGGGGACAGCCCTAGTTTGGTCATTCGAACATTAGGTCATCAGGTTGAGTGATTTGTTGTGTGTTTCCAGAAACAGGATTTCCATTATTATGGGGCCCCTTCAGATCTGAGCGATGTGCTGCCACTTGTGACGCAAAAGGCGTATAGGTGCTCCTTTAGGGCAGGATAACAAATTTTCGACCCTATTAACTTTAATGGGAGCGCCTGAAGATACATGTTTTTTTGCGAGTTTTCGTTCCAAACAACGAGCTTTCCAATAGTCAAAACAAAAATGGGTAGAGAAAAACTAAAGCTGGCAGTACACTGCTTGAAATGAGCACTATTGGCACCCCTCACTTCAACAAAAAGTGATTTTTGTTCCAGGAGCCGGTCCAAAAAAATCTCAGCTAAACAGTGACTGCGGTCAGACAGATGCAGTCACTGTTCAGGTATTCTGACAGCTGCACACCCGCCACTGCCAGGGCCCCATAGTGCAGCACGAGGGGGGTACTGTTAACTGTTTACTGTGGATGGGACAATTATGCAGCTTTTTTTTTTGTTCAGCCCCACAGGGTATTGGAACAATGCATGGCAGATTGGTTTGGTTTAAGGAGAGCCAGTATTAGCGCACTGGGAATTCTTATTGTTACATTAATGTTCTGGCCCAGAAAGCTGGAAACTATTATGCACTGGAGCACAGGGACTCAGAAATATTACTGGCAGTGGCACAGCTGGAGAAGATCTGGGCCAGACATGACAAATCATTCACCCATGTGAATAGTGGAATTCAGCACAGCTGGAAAGTTCTGGTAGTGTTCAGTCCTGCTATTGTTACTCTCACAGTAAACAAGACTACAAGATTGCTGTGCACGGTGTCACCTCCGTTCTGCACTTTGCACCGTGAACGATCACTGCAATCAAACATGCTATTCATCAGAGGCGGCCCGGCTCTCTGGCTCCTCCCCCTCCTTCTCGTCTTCTCCGTGTTGGCCAACCAGCAGTCGCAGGTGTCAGCGGCAGGGATAGAGGAGCCGATGGGTCGCCGGTACCGGAGCCCCGCTGTGCTTATCATAGGTTCCGGCATTGCCGGTATCGGAGCCGCCGCGAAGCTGCACCAGCATGGTTTCCATTCAGTTAGGATCCTGGAGGCAACAGGGAGAACCGGAGGGCGCATACGGACGCTGAGTTTCGGTAATACAAACATGTGGACTGGACTAACGTTTTCTGACACTGACCGACACACTGTGACTAGGGAGGGGGCACATAGGCTTGGGAGTTCCTATACATAGGTTGACCACTAGAGGGCAGCACGGACACTCCTGTGCTATCAGGCCGAGTTTGGGACAGTAAACATATCTATTGTACAATGAAAACTTCATGCACTCTGCACCAGTCTATGTTGGCTGCATCGGTTTGGGGTTGGATTGAACTTGTGCTGCTGTAGTTACATTTCTAAATGTTAAAATGCATGTCTATGCTTGCATTCACAACTGAGAGGAATGTATTTCATAGTCTTTCAAAGGGGAATGCATGGAAAAATGCATGTAAGCATGCTTTTCAAGTTCTTTAGGCACTCCCATAAACCAGCATTCACACCTGATTTACACTAAATATGCACTTTTTCAGTGCGTTTTGTGTAGCACGGGTTTTGCACATTTTTACGCACGTTTTGCACGCATATGTAAAGAGGCATTTTTTATTAACAGATTGCGGCAAATTGAAGTGAATGGACAGACGCAGCAATCGTGCATTTTCGAGTGTTTCAATTAAAGGATACAGGGGAGGGGCTGGTTCAACACCCCCCTCCCCGCTCCAATCCGCCAGCGCTGGCTGGCGGAACGGACGGGGGAGGGGGCGGGTACAGCTAGCTCTGCCTCTATATAGGCAGAGCCAGCTGTCACTCACGCAGCTGGGCGGATCTCAACATCAATGTCAGGATCCGCTCCGGCGTCTCAGTATACCGCGAGCTGTAGCTCGCGGTATACTGAGCTTAGGGTAACGGGAGGACGCTAGTTTGTGTCCTCCAATTACCCTAAGGAGAACTATGGGGAAAAGCCCTGACCCCATAGTTCTCCTTTAAAGTTTATGGGGCCAAGAAGCGCAGAATCTGCCAAAAAGAATCTGAATACTTTCTTCAAGCGATGAGCGTTTTGCTACAAGCGACATGACACTCAGATGTGAACATGGCCATATAAATAAATGGGAATTTTTGGGGGGCTTTTTTTTTTTTGGGGTTTTTTTTTTTTTTTTTTTTTAAGCAGAAAAAGCTATACAACACACTCAGTGTGAATTAGGGCTTAAAGTCTATGAGGCCAAAATACTAAATTCTTCCTGAAAAGAAGCTTATTTGAGCTACAGGCGTTTTGTTATAAGCAACAACGCAACATATGTGAACTGGGGCCATTGAAAGCAATGGGATTCCTTCTGTTGAGTGTTGTAGCGCTTAGGCATTGGAGCTACAAAATGCTGAGACGTGAATAGGGTATTTACGGAATTCTCACCAAACATGCTTGCAGTGCCTTACTAATTAAAGTACCATTACTAGTTCATGGCACCTTGTTAGAAAATAATATTTCTTGACTGACACTTACGATGTAAGCGTCTTAAGGTGATTAATCTTCATCAATGAATGTCCAGTTGTAGAGTGAAAAACTTGTGACTTTAATTGTATAATGGGAAGTCACAGCATACAATGATATTGCAAAAATATAATATACAAATAGATAGTTCAAAGTATATAGTTCTTAGTTAATGCCGCGTTTAAAGAGCAAGTCACCTCGTGTTTGTCCTCAGGCTTCTGAAGGGTTCAGCCAAAATAGTCTTAGCAGGTGAAATAACAAAGTCTCTTCCCAAATGGGCGTGTTAGAGTTCTCTTCATGAGTGTGCGTAGTGTCATGTAATGTAGTGTGATGAAGTGTGTCTAGTGTGAAGTCGCCTGTCGCTTATATTCCAAAATCGACGTTAATGATTGGCTAATCCTATAAGGTTTCTTCTCCTATATGGTGCGACCAAAACTACTTAAGTCATGAATTTCTAAATGTCATTCTACAACTCTATTTAAAACACAGAACCTTGTTCTTAAAAGACTCCCCTAACAGCTGCTTCTTTACTAGTTCTATACAAATTCTGACATAGCTCAGATTTCAAGGACAGATAAGGATATGTCTTTCAAAGTCATACATCCATCTTCATTTAAATGCACAAGGTCACTGTAAATATATATATGCATGGGCCCATACTATAATTCCCTTTAAGCCAAATCAAATTTGAATCTAAGTATTTTACACACCTCAAACACGGCTGAGCAAATGCATGTGTGAACGCATGGAAAAAACATGAAATGCATGTCACAAAGTTTGACTATGTAATTTGCATTTGGTGCGCGTCCAGGGACCTAATGGGGATGCGTACCAAATGCAGGAACGTGCGTCCCCATGACACGCATTCCCGTAACACCCAGGTGTGAATGGGGACTAATGTGTGTTTCCTGTTGAAGTCTATAGGGCCAAAAATGCTTGAATGCTCAATGTTTAGGTGTAAATGGGCACCATTGAAAATAATGGGATTCTTCGCGTTGAATGTTTTTGCGTGTCAGAAAATATGACAGTGGGAGACAATGTGAATGGAAGCTTAGTGTATCTGTAGGCAATTTGTTTTTCTTTTTAGTTTGACAGTTAGACCTGTCATGTTTTTATTGCTGTCTGTGTCCCCATTGGGGAAAATCCTCCCTCTATTTGTACAGGTTACCATTGTCACCAAGAATGAAAGAGAGGGGAAAGCCACGATTTCTCTTCGAAGATCAAACATCTGGACCCACCTGCAGGAGAAGGATGCTAGGCACAAAACAAAAGACAAAAAAATAGCCTGAGGGTCTGTGCTGGTGGCCAACCCCCCACCTGCTGAACAAGTCTCCAGTTTTTTGCCTAGCATCAACAGTAGAGAGCTCAGATTTTTCTCTCTGGAATTCTTCTCTACTTTTTTTTCTTTCATTTTGTCTGCATCTTCAAGCAAGAGCTGGATGATCGTGGATCCTTGTAGTCCTACCCAGTCCGGCCTACGAGCGCATGCAGTCGTTACATGCAGTACCTGGCAGATTCTTTACCTGCAGCACGCAGGACTGAAGGAGGAGAATCGCTCACCCGCCTGCCGGACTGAGAGGATCATCTGTTCACCTCCTGATTTTGTCACCCTACTGCCCATTATTAGTCAGAGCACAGTGCACAGAGCCGGAGGCGGAGGATCACCCTGCAATAGTAATGTATGTGCCACATTCTCTTTGCATACTGCTCACCCACCGAACATTAGACCTCATACCTGCACACACACAGGCCCCCACAAATGCACTGCAATATCTTGATCCACAAATAGCTTTGGATTTATTCCTGCCCTAATATATATATATATATAGGACAGGAATAAATTCAAAGCTATTTGTGGCATGAATGTACAGTGGGAGCCGCCGCTCGTTTAATCCAGGAGTGGCCAATTGATTACCTCAGCCACCAGTCTGTGGATCCGGGGATTGGTTGTTGCATCTGGAGGTATTTCACAAGATCAGCCTTTTTTAAAGACCCCGGATGTGGATCTCCTTGGCATCCATCCTCAACAGCAAGGTCGATCGATGCATGGCCAGGACCCAGGAACTGTGGACGGATGCGACAGATTCGCTGGTGACTGTCGGACCGCTACACTCTAATGTATGCCTTCTCTCCAGTGCACCTTCTGCTGCGTCTTCTTTGCAGGATAGAGGCCTAGGGATTCCGATCATCCTCGTGGCCCCAGATTGGCAGAGAATGTCTTGGTACGCAGATGTGGTGTGCCAGGTCACGGACGCGCCCTGGTCTTTGCTGTTTCAGCTGGATTTTTTGTCGCAGGGTCACGTCTTCCATCCTGCTTTACAGTCGCTGGCTTTAACGGCGTGGCTGTTGAGAGCCAGGTGTAGAGGGATCGGGGGTTTGTCAGACTCTGTGATTCCCACTACGCTTAAGCCTTATAAAGCTACTTCACGTAAAATTTACCACCGCACATGGAAGGCCTACTTTCCATGGTGTGAGGTCTGGGGCTTTTCCCCACATTTGTATTTGGTGAGCAGAATTCTGACTTTTCTCCAGCGTGGGGTGGATCAGAGTTTAGCCCTGAGCACCATTAGAGGCCAGATTTCAGCTCTTTCAGCAGCCTTTGGCATCCAGTTCCCTAATGCGCACTTTTGTACAGGTGCTTCCACATATCGTCGCCCCCCCCCCATCCGTTCTTCGAACAGTTGTGCATGGGGAAACTTCCCGCCCGTCATGCCATATCCCAAATCTACAAGCAGTTGACATCCCCTTCTGCAGACCTCCCCTTACACTTCCTACAGAACTGGGAAATGGAGTTGCAGTACACTTTCATGGATCACCAAAGGGACACTATTCTGGCTATGGCTTTCTAATCATCTCTGGCTAGCAGATATCAGGAGTTGGGATACAAAATTCTAAAGCTTGGCTGCTGCATAAGATGAATAGTTCAATCCCAGACTTCTGTTGGAGATGTGGCACAACTTCGGGTACGATGTTGCATGTGTTCTGGACTTGCCCTGAAGTGAGACCCTTCTGGGAGCAGGTCCTGGGAATTGTTAAGACTCTGACAGGAGCGAACTTCAGGGAAGACCCAGCTGCATGTCTGCTCCACTTCACCCCACATTCGATCTCCAAATATCGCCATTCTTTGACACCATCTGTTGAATACTGCCAGAGCTTGTATACCCCTGACGTGGCAGGATACTCAGCTTCCTTCTGTCCAGCTATGGCTCTCTAGGGTTCAGCACATCTACTTGATGGAAGACCTAACAGCCTCTTTGAAAAATACGGAAGGTAAATTTAATGCCACCTGGGGTCCATGGTTGAGCTACAGGACTCCTCACAGTGCCCTCATCCCCTCTCTCAATTTTAAACAGGTACGACCTAATTCCTCGCCCATTCCTGATGCTCTCATGTGGGATCGCTCACTTACTGCCTGACGCACACTGCTACTGTTTTGCAAGGTCCCTGCTATGGCTTTCGGGTTCTGTCCTCTGATCTTTCTCTCATTTTCCCTTCCGCATCCTTTTCCTTTGACCTTGAAACAAATATGACCAAATATACCACTTTTAGAAAAGGGCTTTTTCTGGATCTCTGCAGTTCCTATTTCGAAACAGCAATGGTATGATTTAGATGGCTGTCTCATTTGTGATTATTTTACAAGCTTTAGATTTTATATTTCAATTGTGAACTTTATATCCTTACCACATTCTGTTAAATTGTATCAGTTAATAAAGGATTAAAAAAAAACGTTGAACTTTAAAGAAACAAGCTGCTTTGGAATTGGCCATTTGATCTCTGCTAGTGGAGCTCATTCTTAGCAGTACTGCTAAGAATGAGCTCCACTAGCTCATTATGCTGAGCCATTCTCACATGACCATGTAAGAAGATAGGGAAGTTGTGTTTGATGACCTAAGAGATAAAAGGTTAGAAAGCAAAGCAGAAATGCACTGCTTTGATTTTCCAAAATGTAATGCGTGTAACATGCAGCCATATGGCAGATGTAAATGTGCTCAAATTTGCATTTCCATCCATGGGTGCCAAGATCTGCTCTTATAGAAAAAAAGCCAAGATTTCTGTTGCTCTGCTGTGAACTTTAAAAATGAATCTCTCCACAATGCCTATAGATAGGGCTTGGTTTAAAGAACAACTATGGGTAAAATTTTATTAACCCTTGCAATGCATGGTGGCTAGTTATTGCCTGGGTTAAAAAAATAACAAAGATATACTTGCCTGATCCATCAAGCCGGCCAGCTGTGACAGCGCTCCCTCCTGCCTGTCTCCTCCTCTGTTGCAGCGATGGAATGACCCTCATTGTCCTTTATGTCCTATAAACTGTATAGAACATGATGATGCGGGGATCTTAAATGGCTGCAGTGGAGTGGTATAGAGGCTCCAGGGACCTGTCTAAGCGCAAGCTGGTTTGGAGGATCGGGTGAGTATAACTTTTTTTATTTTTGACCCTAGGCAGAAGAGCACATAACTCTTGCAGTGCGTGGGGTAGCCCCACTGCAGGAGTTAATAACATTTTTACCCAGACTTTTTAAAGTACTTTTACTGCTTAGAAAACATGCATACATGTATATCAACATGATTCCTTGTTGTTTCCTCGATCAGTGCTCGTAAGCATTGATGGAGGAGTCTGTTCTATTTCTTTCTGTTCAGGCCGTGGGGTAAATGAAAAAAATAGAACCATGTATACCCAACTTTAATTTATTTTGTTGAAAAATTAGCATACCAAGACATTTTGGACAATTTCATGCTCCCAACTTTGTGGGAACAGTTTGGGGATGGCCCCTTCCTGTTCCAACATGACTGCGCACCAGTGCACAAAGCAAGGTCCATAAAGACACGGATGAGCGAGTTTGGGGTGGAGGAACTTGACTGGCCTACACAGAGTCCTGACCTCAACCCGATAGAACACCTTTGGGATGAATTAGAGCGGAGACTGCGAGCCAGGCTATCTCGTCCAACATCAGTACCTGACCTCACAAATGCGCTTCTGGAAGAATGGTCAAACATTCCCATAGACACAGTCCTAAACCTTGTGGACGCCTTCCCAGAAGAGTTGAAGCTGTTATAGCTGCAAAGGGTGGGCCAACTCAAGATTGAACCTTACGGACTAAGACTGGGATACCATTAAAGTTCATGTGCGTGTAAAGGCAGGTGTCCCAATACTTTTGGCAATATAGTGTATGTCTTCAGCTCCCTTAAAGCAGAACTCCGAGTACACATTTTATTATCCCCTTTGGGCTACTCCTGCACTGCAAGGATTAACTGCTTATTTTTGTCTGGGTTAAAAAAAGTTATACGCCCCCCGATCCTCTAAACGGCTTGCTCTTGGACTGGTCCCTTCCACCTCGCTTTCTCTCTGCTGCAGTGATCTAAGAGTCATCACATTCTATACATAATGTATAGGAAGTTAGGATGCAGAGGGACATACCATCGCTGCAGGAGGGAGTGCTATGACAGCTGGCCAGCTCCGATCATCAGGCAGGTGAGTATAACTTTTTTTTTTAGTTAGACAAAACCGGAGATAGCTCCACTGCAAGGGTTAATAAAGTTTGTGCCTGGAATTCTGCTTTAAGCAAGACTGGATTCCAGGTGTCTTGCTGCACCTTTGAAGAGGATGGGGCTGCAAAAAAAAATATATATATTTTGCAGCTTTGAGTAGAGATGTCAGTGTGACTTAACACGTATTTTGTCTTTAAGCAAAGGGCCTGGTCGAGATTGGTGCACAGTGGATTCATGGACCGTCTCCAGAGAACCCAGTTTTCCAGCTGTCATCACAGTATAATCTTTTAGGTCCTGATGCCCTGCTTGAGGAGAACCAGAAAATGGATGTGGGAGGCCACCCTCCTGCCATCCCAGTTATCTACAGCAGCTCTGGAAAGGAAATCAGTCCTTCATCAGTGATGAATGTTTTGAATTTGTATTTTGAGTGGCTGGAGAAAGCTCGGAATTTTACAAAAGATACCTGCAGTCCAGACGCAAGTGTGGGAAGTTTCTTTCGCCAGGAGATTTTGCGCAGCTCAAAGGAATGGAATAAGGACATATATGAGCTGAATGTGGCACTTTTAAGGACATTTCTTAATATTGAGTGCTGTGTCAGCGGAACCCATACAATGGACTATGTAGCACTTTGCCCCTTTGGAGAGTATACAATGTTTCCAGGAGTGGATTGCACCTTTCCTAAGTAAGTACCTCAATGATGCAATATCATTTTAAAGTGGTAAGGTTTTCTAGGCAAGTATTTATTTTTGTTTTTAGAGATGTCCATTTTATGTTTAAAAAAATAAGCTTAAAGCCCATGGAGCAACAGTAGAGGGCTCCATTTCCTTCTTAAAGTTGATTTTTTTTTCTTCAGTGTTCTATACCTGAGAAGCACAATCTGGGAAACAATATATTTTTTGGGATCCTCAGACTATTAGTAACTATATTCGCTTGTTAATATTATGTTCAAAACACATTTTCGGTGTGTCCAGAATAATAGTTAACATGTTTGGTGTTCTAGAAAATGTTTAAGAAGAACTCCAGGAATTTTTTGTATTAACCCTTGCAGTGGGTTAAAGGAGAACTATGAAGTGAGTGAAAATCACTCAGCCTCATAGTTCGGCTCAATAGATCGGGAAGTGAGCGAACACATACCATCGCTCACTCACTTCTTGATCTTGTCCCTGCAGAGAGCCGTGACTGTCACTCACGGCTCCCTGCAGGGATTTACCCCCCCCCCCTTCCCTGACCGATCGTTAGGCGCTAACTGGTGGAACGGACAGGGGAGGAGGCGGTTACAGGTGTACAGCTGTCAATCATGCAGTTGGGTGGATCTCGACAGTAATGTCGGGATCCGTCCCGGCTGCGGCGGTCTCAGTATACCGTGAGCTGTAGCTCGCGGTATACTGAGCTTTGGGTCACGGGAGGACGCTAGTTTGTGTCCTCCCGTGACCCTTAGGAGAACTATGGAGAAAAGCACTGACCCCATAGTTCTCCTTTTAAGTGCTTGTTTGTGTATGGGTGCTAAAATAATAATCATGTCATGGTGCTCTTTCCAGCCTATCCCCTCCTTTTAAGCATTGTAATCTTCCTCAGCGTCCTCGCATCTATACACAGTGTATAGACATGATGATTTACTGGACCTTAAACTGCTACAGAGGAAGTTGAGGGGCATTGGAAGGACCGGTCTAAGAAGAAGCCGGCTTGGAGCTTTGGGTGAGTATATCTTTGTTATTTTTTAACCTAGACACAAACGAGCAGTGGACCCTAGCACTGCGGGGGGTAGCTTCACTACAAGGGTTTTCACACATTCACGTGCATTGCCTTATTGCAGCATATTCATTATGAATGAACTGTCAATGCATTGCAGTCGACCAAAAACACATATGACCCTATATTGTCAACGCAGCACATCTCCGTGCATGCCACGTTTAAATTGGCCACTGCTTTATATTTTATTATTTTTTATTTGAAGCATCTCACAATTGTATTTGACAACATAAAATATAGGCTCAGTGGGGACACTGTTAGGTTAGAAATATGAGAGCAATTGTTTGTTATTTTTGAGGGTGAACACTCCTGGACTGTATTTTTACTTTTGAAGCAAACCACTCCAGAACCAGCCATTTGTAGGCAGCCAGGCAGCACACTTCCTGTGCTGGCAGTCAGATATGTTTTATTGCGAGAAAACTTTTTAACTTTTTAGAAATGTGGACATAAACAAAAAGTAAGCCCCATAGTACAATGAGTATACAATCATATAATGACAAGTTCCATCTGTACAGAAAAGTATTTCCATTTTCATTGGTATATATGTTTGAGTGCTTGTGAGAGTCTATTAGACATGCCAGGGATTAAAGTAGTATTAAAGGCAGGGCATTTTTTACCTTGATGCATTCTCTGCATTAAGGTAAAAAATTCCCAGTAACTTTCTGTGTCCACCGTCCTGTGTCCACTTCCATAGGCTCCTTCTGCCATCAATCAACCTGTTGGGCGGAGAAGAGGGGCGTGGCCTGCCGCAGGGCTGTGTGTCTATGGATGCACACATCTACTGCAGGTACGGCCGGGAATGCGCTTGCACGGATGCCTCCACAGCAGCCGCTTAGCTAATGACGGCGCCCGTAGAGTGGGGTAGAGCGATGCACTAGAGAACGAGGAATATAAAACTTTTTTTTTTTTTTAAAGAACAAAGGATATGCATCCCCTTTGGCTTCCTATGCCTATAAATAAAAACAAGTGAATCCTAAAGTCACTCTCTAAAATCTCAAGACAAAGTTACTGCACTAAAAAAAAATTAAAAATATTACACCTTATACATAAACAATAAAGTGCCTAGTGATTGTCCCAACACAGTATGTGACCTCCCCTATACTTAAATTCAATACAATCTCAAAACTGCATGTGCAATGTGTCGTGGTCCAGATCACATGTGCAACTCCACAAATTAGTCTCTCTCTAAAAAAAAAAAAAAAGTCTCTTTAACCACTTGAAGTCCGATGTGTTAAACCCCCTTCTTGTCCAGGTCATTTTCCAGTATTCAGCACTGCGGTACTTTGACTGACATTTATTCCGTCATGCAACGCTGTACTGAAATTAATTTTATACCATTTTAGGAACACACAGAGCTTTCTGTTGGTGGTATTTAATCAACACTGGGATTTTTATTTTTTACCATATTAAGGAAAAATGACCGAAATTAAAAAAAAAAACTGTGTTCCCTATATTAAATTAAAAACCATTTATTATTACCCAATTTTTTGGTAAAATATAAAAGCCGGGGTCACGTCGGGTAAAAAGACACCAAACATCTCAAGCCTTAAAATTGGGCACGCGAAACCTCACAAAACTACAATACCCAAAATTGGCCACAGGCAACGCTTTAAAAGCTTTTACCACTCATCAGTTTAGTGTTATCAGTGATTGATGGCCCTAAAATTATTGCTCTTACTCTGACGTTCGTGGCGATATGTAACGTGTAGCGCAATTGTCATTTCCGCGCCCTGGCGCATCGAACACGTACGTTTAGATGTGCGTAAACGTGATGGGGACTTAAAAAATGTTTTTGGTTTTTTTTGTGACTTTTTTATTTTATTTTTTATACACTTATTGTTATTGCTATCACATAGGGGGATAGCAATCCCCCTATATAATAGCAAAGCCACACTGACAGGTCCTCTTTATGGAGACATTAGGGGTCTCAAAGACCCCTAATGTCACCTGGGGACCCCAAAAGAAGCTGATGAAGCAGAGATCTGCTTTATCAGCTTCTTCTCTCTGGCAATAGCAGCCAGATGACTGACAGGTGAATGCGGAAGTGATGTATTACACATCACTTCTGCATTCACAGCACAGAGGGAGATCAGCAAGGAGGAAGATGCTGATCTCCCTCCCATCTTACCTCCTGAGCCGGTCCCAGGCCGCAGATGGGCTAGCAGATTCCGGGATTGAAGGTGAGGGGTCAGGAGGGGGCGGCACTCGACGGGGCGGAGGGAGGGCGAGCAAAACACAACATACAACCGATCGGCGGCTATAGAGCCGCCGATCGGTTGTATGTCAAACAGCCGGTAACGGCTGTAAAGAACGGACGGGTTTTTTCTGCCAGTGCGCGCAGGAAAAAAAAGCTGTCTAATTACGGCAACCCGCCCACAGGACTTTGCCGTCCGTCCGTTTTTTCACAACTGGCGGACGGCAAGCGGTTAAGAAGTTATGTCAGCAGTATATAAACTGCAATTGTTCAACATTCCAAAAAGGTATTTCTTAGTGTGAAATCCTTAGTGTTTCTGTGCAATCAATACACTCACCAGACTCCTTTGACCACTATTAAATGGTCAAACTGCACTCAGATTACAATCCTTAGCCAGCCACTCTCCCAAGAAAGCCGATGGCAACCTCCTTTTGTAGTCAATATCTCCTTTCAGTTTGCTGGGTTTTTAGAAACTGTTGGTCGTTTCAAGTTGTTCCAATTCCTGTCAATTCACCTTCTAAATGGCCAATATAAACCTCCTGCGCACATTTCTCCTTGTAATTCATTCAGTGCCCCATGGAAAAAAATGTAGACGCTACATAGTGTGAAATACTTAAAAACTTTTAATCATAGATTCTTTAAAAACTTACATTCAAGGCTTAATAGGCAGGGCTGTATAATTCCTTCACTGGCATATAGCTTCTCTCCCAGTGATCAGCGTGATGAGATCAGCATGTTAACTCCTCCTTGACATGCTGATGAGAGAGAGGCTCCCTCCAGGGAACATTTGGGGCAATCTTTAAGGTATGGACTCGGGGATTTTATTTTGTAAAAGAAATCAAAAGCATAGTATGCTTTGTGAACAGGGCTTGAAAAATTTGACGGTGTCTCACCAGTCAGTCCAAAATTTCACCAGTCAGCATGACCGGACTATAGCCTTGCAATTTATGTTAAAAAAATTTGGGGACAGATAGAGCTTTCTTTTGTGTGGGGGGTTATTTTTTTTTTTTTTTACTATATAATGAAAAAGTACCATAAATGTAAAAATTAAAAAAAAAACAAGAAAAGTTTCCCTACGTTAGGTTATAAAACATTTATTCTTACCCATATTTTTAGTAAAACATAAAATTCGGGCTCACGTCGGGTAAATAGACACCAAACATGTCATGCCCTAAAATTGCATGCGCCCGCGAAAAACGCCCATAGGCGACGATTAAAATGCTTTTACTGCTCATCAGTTTAGTGTTATCAGTGATTAATGGCCCTAGAATTATTGCTCTCACTCCGACGTTTGCGGCGATATGTAACATGTGCGACACAATAGGCGCAATCGTCGTTTTCGTTTTTAATTTTTTTTATGCTTTATTTGTTTTTTTTTATGATTCTTTAATTTTTATATTACATTTTTTTTTAACACACAACTTTATTGCTATTACATGGGGGGCTAAGAAGCCCCCTATGGGATAGCCAATTTACATGACAGGTCCTCTTAATGGAGACATCAGGGGTCTCCAAGACCCCTAATGTCACCTAGGGACCCCCAGAGAAGCTGATGAAGCAGAGATCGGCTTCATCAGCTTCTCTAGCTGGAGAGTGACACTGAATGCAGGAAGTAATGTAATATACATCACTTCCTGCATTCGGGGACTGTATAATATCCCCGTTAAGGATGGGAGGTGTAGCTCAGCTACGGAATCCCCATTCCTAGTCACTTCACACAATTTCCTATGCCTGCTTAT